TGAGAGATAGAAAACCTCTGTATCAGGAAAATATTCCTCCTTGCGCCCTTGCTCCTAACTCCCGTCATGTTTTTGTTTGTTTCTGTAGAAAAGACATTTTGGCTGTGTAGGCCTTTCTTACCAGGTTACCGTTTAACCAGGGACACATCACTGCTGTCTGACTGCACCTGATACTTACCTGTCTGTGTGCACTCGGTCTGCATGCTTGTGCCGATGCTGCACACATTTTTAACCTTACTATTGTTTACATGGAGTATGTATGCATGCTTTCTCCTCCACAAACTCAGCATCCTTAACATGTTCACCACATGACACCTGCACACCTACATATGTTTCACTAAAACTATCTGTCCTACCTACCTGTGCCACACACATACCACCTTATTTCCCACTGACTTCTTTCTCACCTACTTCACCCTCACAACATAGGTCATCGCTGTCTTCTTCCCATGTAAGTCAGTCACCCCCTCCATCCTGTACACCACTACCACCAACAGTGTCCCTAGGTTGGGTCAAACACGCTGCACAGACTCAGCATCAGCATGTTGCCCTGCAGAACCAAGCCACTTACCAGTGCCATTGGCTGCCCCCCAGGGACAGGCACCTCCACCTCTCTCTGGTTAGGACGGGCTCTGATGACGTGACCCTCTTCATCACAACTATAAAATTTCATAAATGGTGAACTAGCAAAGAGAATGTAGTGAAAACCTCTAATCTTTTCGTAAAAAGCGAAGATTGAGATAGATCCTCATTCCAGTTGTGGAGGATCATGTTAAGCTGTCTTCTTTGAGACACCACATGTTTCAGTGGTGTCAGATTTGGAGACAGAAATAATCTTTTTAATTGGGGAAACAGCTTTTCCATGTCAGGAGTCGTCTCTGCTGAAAAACTAATCAGTTTTGAATATAGAGACATTTCACAGACTGATCTTAGTTTTGGGTTGTGGCAGCAATGACACAAATACATTACTGATTGTAGTACCTCCATGACCTGGTTCACTTTTTCCACCTGGTCCAGGAAGAAGACCGACCACCTCCACTCACTTAGACTTCTTTTACACTGTATAAAAAGCTAGCACCAACTTTGTCGCCATGGTGTCTGAGGCAGCAATCAGTGAAGACGCTGGTAGGCAAAAACCCAAAACACAACCCTCCACTCTAACTACACATAACACAATTATACTGAGAATCACACAAACTAACTAACCACAATGAACCACTACAACCACCACTACATTAAAGTGAAACACTTTTGCAAAAATGATAGAGCACATTTTCTGTAAGACTTACTCCACAATACGCTCACTTCCAAAATACACTCAGAGACAGACAGAGATAGAGATAGATAGAGAGATAGAAAGATAGATAGATAGA